GTGACACACACACACACACACACACACACACACACACACACACACACACACACACACACACACACACACACCGGCGGGTGCAACAGTGAGCCGTGAGCGTCGCGCCCCCTACCGGTGTTCCCCTGCACATTCAGCAATAACAACGTGGCCTGTTAGCAATGTTGCCAAATAAAAAGGGAACATTTCAAAAGCGTAAAAATAAAATAAATTAATAAATGTACTGTTAAAAAATGTAAAATAAAGTTAACACTAAATTATTTTGTAATTTCCATAAAGTGTCAAATAAAAAGCAAAAAATAGGCCTACATAAAATATATGTATAACAATCAATATATATATATAATTACGTTTTTTAATTATATTTTTTTTATTTAGAAAATGTAAATGTTTTTATTTATTTATTTATTTTTCAAAGATCAAGCGAAAGAGAATCCCATAGTCCTTGGAGTTTTGGTATTGGAAAGTGAGTTTTTGCAGTTAGCTCATAGTATATAGTATGTGAGCATGAATCATTTAAAAAACACTGACGTTTTTGAGTGTGTCACTTTAGTTAGCTGGGAAAACCTTCCCTTTTCTTGCTCGTTTTCTAAAATGAACATGTCCTTTAACCACAGAAATGCTGAGAACATCCGCTTGATGCGAGCTTTGTTTGTATATAGGGCCCTTCACTTTGTTTCAACAGTTTATCCGAGCCAATGATACTAACGAGATAACTTAAATCCGCTTTGGTTCCTTCCTTGTGTACTGACCGAGTGCACTACAATTCACTTGACCTACTGTCACAGCAGAAGACGGGAAGAGTGTTCTGTGCAGTCACCCCTCAGCGGCTCTCATTCTCATTATTTGAATGAGCTCTCAGTTGTACAAAGATGTGTGCATTTCTGTAGCTCAATGGGCCTTTAACCTAACAGTTTTAATTCAATTTGTTTCATGTTTCATGTTGTGTTCTGCTCTCAAGTGATTTCCAGTTTCTCACAGATATTTAATCTTGACAGAGACCTCCAGGTCAACACAAAATGAGCAGATTCATGGCAGAGAAAATAAAAGTACACTACATTCCCACAGCTCGATGTTCCTCAAGGTCATTTATTACCCATCAACCACACACTCTACGTCTTTTCCAACCAATAGGAAATTCAGTATAGAAATTCCAGCTAATCACACGCAGTGACCTTTTACCATTCAGCCAATCAGATACTTTGCCTGGAGGTTTATTGCATTCCAGGTAAAGCAGATTTGTCTGCCCTGATCATGGGTATTGTTAATGAGATCCTGGATTAACCAGGTCCTGTTGCCAGTCTCTAAAATATGGTGCTATGTCAGTTGTAACAGAGAATAGAGCACCTGAAATGACGAGTAATTGAATGCATATCATATAACAGAATATTCATGTGCTATTTTTACCCCCCTTACACTTTGCAAACATGCATATAAAATGCATGTTAATGTTACGATCAAATATGTTCATACGAATTGCAACAATGGCTATTGTACACTAGTGTACAGTGGTTGCACATTTGTATCGGAGTTGTTGTCTGAGATGTAGGTATGTCCTCAATCCTCAGTCGGACAGACAGGAAGCAGCTCCTTGGCCATACACCATTTTTAGCCCTGACTTTGATTGGATCATGTGACTTATAAATCCCACTTGACCTGACAAGTTCAAAACCTCCACTCCCGGTGTCCTAATTGTGCTCTTGTGGACTTATGGCAGTGCTCATTTGTTTTTTGAAACTACTTTCAGTTTTTGTAATTTATCATGGGTATTCCTAAAATAAGAACTGCGAGAGTAAAGATTAATAGATACAAAAGCTATGGAGATTTAAAAGGCAATTTATATATTTTTTTATTTTTGTGAATTATGGATCTATACAGAAATTTGGCAAGTTGAAGAAAAAAAAAAAAGAGACAACGAGATAATGCAAATGAATATTCAGATATTTTACACTGTTTTCCTTATGATTGGCCATTCTGGGATGATGCAATACTAATCACTTTCACTTGTGGAATAAAAGCGCCCTCTGCTGCTCTAATGCATTTATGGATTTTTTTTTTTAATCTTTAAAATGGGTTCATTATTTGATACAGCACGACTATATGACTATATAATCGGTACACTGAGAACATGAACTTAAAACTGGAAAACAAGATTACCACAATAAAGCATGTTGTGTTGAATGTGACAACTTTTAAATGGTTGCCAAGTTATATTTGTAGTACATACTGGCTGTGGAAAACCATGAAGCCCCTACAATTACATGTTGATGGAAAAGTTTATTTAATCATTTGCATTCCCCCCCCCAGAAATTTTACATTTACGAACACAAATTTACATTGGCTCTTTTACGTTCCCTTGAGAAATGTGCGTTCGCTCGCCGAACTTTATTATTCAGCAGCATTTTGCATTCCTTCAGAGGCTTCACATTTGCCCGTTCAAAATATGGTTTGTTTCATATATTTATAGTGCATGGATCTGCACTTTGAATTTTCACTGAAAATAATGAACCATTCATGAAACTTTAGGACACTCATTTCAACATACTACGATTTGGGGCACGCTAAATCTAATTTCGAATACCATTTAATATAATTTAATTTGATAGCATGCGAATTGAGACACAGCATGTCAAACAAAACATTACCAAAATCAAAATCATACATGCATAGTGCTAAAACCTAAAAAATACTGAGTATGATCGTGATTTTATGAGTTTGATTTCAAAATGTATGATCAAAACTGATTTGCGAACAAAGCACCAGACAAGATTTTCATTATCTACATTATTCAGTGTTTATTTGCACCATTATTTATTTATATCACAAATGTGTTTTCAAAATGCAGACTAGCATCTGTCTTTATATAAACTGTACATGAAGGCAAGGCACTATACAACGCAGAATAGAAAGAGATTTTCTCTTATTCCACAGTTTCATTCAATCCTGTTTGAAGAGACACACACACTATATAGATTCACAAACACTCTCTCATGCGCACACACACACACACACATGGGGTTCTCAAGTTCAAGCATCTATCTGGAAGGTTCAAACACATCTTGAGGCCATTTATGAGAGCAGGTATGAACGTACTTACATAAAGTGCTCTTTTGAGCTTAAAGATAAAGGCATTTTTCATTTACTAGGTCTTTATATAAAGCTGGGCAGTGCGTGAGGGCTGCCTTGTGCATGTTGGACGGTGACTGGCTTTATGTGGACACAGCAATGCAGAACAATGGGAAGGATAAGATGCTGGGGAGCACTCAAAACATTCAACAAGAAAACAAAACTTGCTAATCCACTGATAAAAAACAAAAAAAAGGAGAAAATGGGAGAGAAATGTGCTACAAGAGGCTGCTAAACCCCTGCCCATCAGTGTCTTTTCTCCTTCATCCAGCCCCTTTTCACCTCCCTGTGTGGTTTGACACAGGTAGATCTTCACTTGCGTTTGTCTTGTCTGGATCAAAAGGAATGAGAAGGTCTCCACTTCAGATTCTATCCCAGTCAGAAGTTCCTTTAAAACAGTCCTTTGTCTTTCTTCACATTCACTTGCTTCCACCCTGGCAGTGCCTCATATTCACTTCTTGTCATTTCCAATGCTTTCTGCAGAGAACATACACACATATATAATTTTAAGTGTAGGGATTTAAAAACGCATGCAGGTGACACACAAGTGTTAATCATACTCAAGATTCTGAGGTGCTGAACAAAATGGATGAATGATCACAAACACAAACACAAGAGCTGTAGGATATTGGTCACTGCCACTCATCAATCCAAAAATGGGAACAATATTAGAGTACAAAGTATTTAATTTAGGGATGCACAATTCACTTGTACCATATTCTGTTATTAGCTGATATTAGAATTTTTTTTTAAATTTATAGTCAAAATCGATGTTGAATATTTTTAATTGCTCATGCTCATTTCTCCCATTTTTACATTTAAATGACCTTTGCCATCATATAACACTCAAAGCTAATAAAAACAATATTTTAAAAACACTGTTGAATCTAATCAAAATGAATATTAAGTTTTTATACAGTATTATAAATGTTATAATGTTGCGATGCCCATTTAAAAAAATATATTTTAGTTTTTTTTTTATTCATTTAGAAAAAAGTGGTTATTGTTATATGCCATAACATGAAAATAATTACTGGATTAACAATTTTATTATTAGCACATGCCTAAATTAAAGACTACCACCATTGAAAAGTTTGGGGTTAGTATGATTTCTTGTTTTTGGAGAAAATAAAAAAATATATAAAAAAAAAGTCTTAGGTTCACCAAGGATGCATTTATCAAAATAAACTAAACTAAACTAAAATAATTGTGAAATTATTACAACTTAAAATAACTATTTTTAAAATGTAATTATTTCTGTGATGGCAAAACTAAATTTTCAGTAACCATTTCTCCATTCTTTAGTGTCACATGATCTTCTGGAATATGCCAATTTGGTGCTCAAGACACATTCATTATTAACACAGCTGAAATTCTTCTTAATTTTATATTTGTTTATTTTTGTGTAAGCTGCGATACATTTTTCAAAACTGTTATTTGATATTGAAATCCTCTGTAACATAGAAATGTAAAATAGAAAATAAAACATTTATTTACTCATTGAATTAAATGCATTTTTACTGAGGAAAAAAAAAAAAAACCTTAACCTCAAACTTTTGGACCATAGTGTACATCCAAGAAAAATTCACCCCCATGTGTGAGACCTAGAGAATCAGTGAGATAACAGTGGTGAACAGTGACCCACACGCTGCTAGATACTAGGTGGCTTGTGCCATGGCATGTGATCCACAAGCACACAGTGATGCAGTTCACACAGTGAGGATGCGGCATTAGTGGGAAAACACCAGTGTTCCTCATGAAACAAAACTCACCTTCCCA